AGGAAGAAGGAGGAGAGACACTGCAGCCACCGCCAGGACAAGCAGCATGTAAAGACTCTGGTAAGCCACCAGCCATGTGGCAAGGTATAGATTTATAGAAATGGGTTAATTTAAGATAAAAGAACAGTTAGCAAAAAGCCTGCCACGGCCATACAGTTTATAAGTGATATAACTGAGTGATTATTTTATACATGGATTATGGGACTGCGGGGATTGGTGGAACCTGGAGAGAAGCTCTCCAGCAACAACGCTAAGTCTACAATGCTTGCAAGGCAAGCACTCTACTGACGGGGCAATCCCTTGCAGCTCATGTTTCTCAGAGGCTTCTGTTACTAGTTGTAAGTCTGTCTATAGGAGGCCAGTCACCTGGCACAGCGGCGTCTCCAGCTATAAAACTGAAGTCAGCCTTCAGATCCTGCTGTGTGCACCAGGAGAGCAAATCCCGTAAGGCTCCTGAGGACAGCCTGCCAGGATTCTCCTCTTTGCTTCAGAGCTGGTTTCTAGTCATTTCCCTAGCTTTGTCTCAACTAGAAATTCTCACACGTACCCTTCCTCCACAGAGTTTATTACGCCACGATTGATGACCTCCCTCCACCCTCTGTCAACACACCTTTCCTAAAAGGTGCAAATTAAAGCAGGCTTTTTTAAAAGTGTGTGAAGATGGACGGCCTTCCTGGAAGATTCTAACGTAGACACCCAGACCTGAGGGTCCCACTCGTAGCTGAAGTGGAAATGCCTAATGAGAAGTGTGCCAAGTTGGTCTGTGCATCCACACTGGTTCTGTAATGAAGGGGTGGTAATAATTACACAGTGCTGTGCTTTCCGTAAGAAGGAGTCCAGGCGATGGCCTCAAGCATGTCATAAATCCTCCATCAATTATCTTTACAGCTTCCTAGTACTGTACTTAAATATGATCGTGGATAAAAAGTCGATAAAGGGTGAGTAATAACGGGTTAAGTCTTTGCCTTCTCTGCAGCCTCTTCAGCCGTCTTAGCCCTTCCTGTGTTTTCAAACAGTGGCCATTACAGTCTGTGTCACAAATATGGTCTATAAATTCAGCGTGGAACAACACCTTGCATTTATACTAATGGTGTTGCTGAAAAGAATCCAGAGCCTTTCAGGGGCCATTAACTCATTTATCATATCTATACATGTCTTCTTGAATTAAGCTTCTATGGCTCCCTAGTTTGTGTTTGGTATTTAGTGTCAAGTGCTTATAGATTCAGAAGAAAGCAGTTGTCTATCATCCTTTTAAAAGTATTTTCTTTTATGCTCTTAAAATTCAATGTTTTCAATTTAATCTCTCAATCCCATGCTCCACCCACTGCACAATCCCAGGTGACAGGCTTCACTGTTTCCCTTGTTTGCCACTGTATACGGTACACCAGGATGAATGGAGCGTACGGTCCCACGAGTCTCCTGTTTCTCCCTCCCATCTCTCCACAGATGCACTGGGACCACAGATTCACAAATGTTTACCTTCTGTGGGCTCTGGGGATGCAAACTCGGGTCCTCAAGCTCACATTGCAAGTCCCTTACCTACCCAGCCATCCCCCAGCCTCTTCCGTTGGTTCTTGGGGACAACTAATCTTGTCCTTCTTTTAGTTTTGGCTGTCTTCCTTTGTCTGACTTTATTTGATATATTTACTTTTCTTCTAGTTAAACTCAAAGGAAAGAACTACCTTTACTTTCATACTTTATATTTAAGTGTTTTTAGTAGCAGCCTACTTACTATTTACATGTGACTATCTGTACTTTTCACGCACTTGTGAAGGCATCAGTCCTACAGGCATATAGCAAGTAGCCACCATATGCTGAGTTTTAAAAGGGAGAGAAAGGGCGAGAACATATTCTTGTAATCAGGGTTTCCAATACAATTGAAAAAATAAGATAAATAATAAGGATTACAATTATCATAATGTGATCATGTTTTATACTTTTTTTTTTTTTTTGGAGCTGAGGATCAAACCCAGGGCCTGTGCTTGCTAGGCAAGTGCTCTACCACTGAGCTACATCCCCAACCCCCATGTGATCATGTTTTAATGTATTTGTTTTCAAAGTTTTGTCATCTTCACCCCCAACCCCCACACCTACCCCAAGCTATGGGCAACATACCAGTCTGCTTTTCATTGGTTTTAACTTTTTTTTTTTTAAGATTTATTTATTTATTATGTACACAGAAGAGGGCACCAGATCTCATTACAGATGGTTTTGGCCACCACATGGGTGCTGGGAATTGAACTCAGGACCTCTGGAAGAACAGTCAATGCTCTTAACCTCTGAGCCATCTCTCCAGCCCCATTGGTTTTAACTTCTTTGGTAATCTCAACAGGCTAATTTCTGGCTTCCCACTGCCTCTCCTACATGGTAAGTAATTTAAGCTGTAGACAACCATATAAACAGGAGAGGATAAGAAAATTCTAGGCTAACAGTGGTGCTTAGGATTACTGAAATAAGTGTACTCATATAGTCAGGATCATGGCAGGAGAAAAATTCATATTCAATTTAACCAAAATGAGGTTTTTGTTTGTTTGTTTGTTTTTGTTTTTCGAGACAGGGTTTCTCTGTGTAGCTTTGCTCCTTTCCTGGAACTTGCTTTGTAGACCAGGCTGGCTTTGAACTCACAGAGATCAGCCTGTCTCTGCCTCCCAAGGGCTGGGATTAAAGGCGTGCGCCACCACCGCCTGGCCAAAGTGAGTTTAATGCAGATCCTATTTACATGTCTTCAAAGAGACCAGAATAAATGTTAGAAATTGGCATTCCATAGATGCTGGGAAGTCATTCTCACCTCTACACTTGAAGGGGAGCGAGGGAAAATTCCAGGGACAGGGAGGTTGGAACTATGGGATCGGGAGAGCTAGGCTATCTGAAGTGAAGAGTGTAGTAGCCATACAGAACTACAGCAGAAGGGAGAATTGAAGTTCTCCACTTCTTCTCAGTCCTCCTGCCCTCCCCACTGTCCTCTCTAGAGGCCTAAGGAAGAGGAAATTCAGGGGATGGTGCTGGTGAAGGCTAAGTGTCCAGCCTGGGGGACTCAGGAGGGACAAGTGTTAGTTAAATAGCCCGTCAGCTCTGGGGCTTGTCGCTCTCTGGGATCTGCAGTAGAGCAGCGTGTGCATCGCTGAGGCAGCCACTTGGGCATCTCCAACACAAAAACAGACAAGGGGAAAATAGAGGAGACCATGACCTCAGGGTGCACCTCAGCCAGGCTGTCTCTCACCACACCAACTGCTAGACACACAGCTGTGGCCACGTTGTTAGCGTTTATCCTCTTATTTTGGTGAGAAAATGGCTTTCTGTCCAAATATTTTCTTTTTAGTAAGTGCCAATTAGGGAAGAAACAAAAAGCCATCGTCAAAGTAAGATAAGAGGCTGTGCAGGCTTTACCAACTCCATTCCAACATGATACACAGACAGACAGACAGACAGACACATACACACACACATACACACACACTCACATACACACACACAGAGCCCAGGTCATCATAAGATTTGTGATACATGAACTCCTCAGAAGACTCCTCCCCCAAAACATCCAGACAACTATCTGTGTCCAGGATCTATCTTACTTAGAATTCATTTATGACTTATCCTAGGGGTGTGGCAATTAAAAAAAAAAGGTATTTTTTAAAGGCAGGGTCTCACTTAGCCCAAGCTAGCCCTAAATTCACTGTCAGTGAGGATAACCTTACACTCTGCTCCTCCTGTGTCTACGTTGTAAATATCAGGATTACAGGCGCATGCTGCTAGGCATGGCCTTATGTAAATTATTGTTTGGGTATCACCACTCACCAGTTGCTTAGCCAGTGAGAGCTCTAGGCTCCTTTGCCCACAGTGGTTACTTTCTCTGGTAACATAATCTGACTATAGATTCCCAGACATTGCCTTCGATAGAAGAGCTCTCCTAAACAACTAGAGTTTAATTAAGAAGACAGCAAAACACAAAGTAGTCTGCTTCTACCTACCTTCTGGCCTCCAATTCCAAATGAGCTTGACCGATATTATCAACTAAGGATTCTTCATGCTCAATAAAGTCTGCCTAAAAGCAGAAACAGACAGTAGAGAAGGTGTCCCCACTTGTCACCGAGACCCCTGGTTTCCCTTGCCAAAGCAGTTCAGTGCAGGCTTCCCCATCTGGACTGCCAAGACAGGCTGGGCAGCCATGAACAATCACAGAGGGGTTAAAGCTGAGCCTCCGTGCCTGATGGGGCAGGGGGTGCTAGGTGACCTTTTGCGCTGTCTCAGGATGCTAAAGAAGAGCACTCAGCTGTGGGTGCCATGCAGGAAAGTTGGGAAGCATTGCTTTAGGGCGATGGTGTGGACATCTAATTGCAGCTCCGGAGGGTCAAATGGAGAGACAGAGGTGCTGGCTGTCACCGTAGAAAACTCTTCCAGAAGACATCAGTGAAGCGATGGAGGGCAGACTGCTTCTAAACACAGTTCAGAGGCAGGTTCTGGAGTTAAGTGTGGAAAATGGAAAAGGGAGAGAATGAAAGAAGAGATGGAACGGAGGTAAATGGCACGTGCTGATAAAGTAGGGAGGAAGAACACCCAGGGGCTTCATGCCTCCACCTGCTATTTTCTTTGATAATTCAGAGGAGGTTGAATCATCAGCTTGGAAAAGGCAGGATCTGGTTAGGGGTCTGAGAGAAAGATTTGAATATCTACTGTCCAAAAGGAGAAAGGGAGCTGACAGGAGATAAAACTGCCAATGCTGAAGGCCAACCTGAGGGTGGAGCTGTAGTGTGTGTGTGTGTGTGTGTGTGTGTGTGTGTGTGTGTGTGTGTGTGTGTGAACCTGAGAGTGGAGCTGTAGTGTGTGTTTGTGTGTGTGTGTGTATGTGAACCTGAGGGTGGAGCTGTAGTGTGTGTGTGTGTGTGTGTGTGTGTGTGTGTGTGAACCTGAGAGTGGAGCTGTAGTGTGTGTTTGTGTGTGTGTGTATGTGAACCTGAGGGTGGAGCTGTAGTGTGTGTGTGTGTGTGTGTGTGTGTGTG